GTTACGCGCCCGTTACCTTGTTGTTGTTGTTGTTGTTGTTGTTGTTGTTGTTGTTGTTGTTGTTGTTGTTGTTGTTGTTGTTGTTGTTGTTGTTGTTGTTGTTGTTGTTGTTGTTGTTGTTGTTGTTGTTGTTGTTGTTGTTGTTGTTGTTGTTGTTGTTGTTGTTGTTGTTGTTGTTGTTGTTGTTGTTGTTGTTGTTGTTGTTGTTGTTGTTGTTGTTGTTGTTGTTGTTGTTGTTGTTGTTGTTGTTGTTGTTGTTGTTGTTGTTGTTGTTGTTGTTGTTGTTGTTGTTGTTGTATTATGATGTTCTATTAATGTTTGTTCAGTTGTGGTTGAGTATTTGATGTTCTATTAATGCCCTTTGTTCAGAGCGCGAGCTTGCCGCTGGTTGAGTATTTTTCAGGAGTCCTGCAGAAGTCGCAATAGAACTTTGGAATCTTTGCCTTAGCTTGGCATGTCCTACTGGTCCCAGTCCTGTTGGCAGGTACGGCAGTAAACAAATGAAGCCGAAACTCACAAATTACTATCACTCTGCAGAACTCGTACAGAAGATCGAATATTGCCGGTAAGACATCGGCTTGTCTTGAAGGAAATCACACACATACGATGCTTGCCAATAAACAATGGTCAAATGGGCACAGTCAGTCACGAATTTATCTGTGCATCCAAAAGCAAATGCCTTCCTTGTCCCTTCCAGCACTTTGTGAGGTCGTGTAGGCAGGGAATAAGCCAGTTCAACCCGTTTTTCTTGCCGAAATTTCCCTTTTCATCACTGTGCGTGCCATGTCTGCACTGCCCTTCCATTTGGTTAAGACCCCTGTAAAAAATGGACACATATATATATATATATCCAGTAGCGAAATCGATTCGGCCACGATGCGACATCAGCCGCAAGAGTGCAAGTTCTCCTCATCCCTCCCCTTCATTCAGACTATTCGCGGCTTTTTCCTTTTTCCTCAGAAGGGCTTCGAAATTGCTGAATAATATGTTTGATTTTCCCCGGTTGGTTTTAAAGGGATCTATCACTGGACAGATGAATTCTCATTTTTTCCCGTGCGCCTTACGGGAAAAATGGAAGCTCGGACTATCTGCCCGCATCGCCAGGCAGCTTCCATTTGCTGAAAAGACAATGACTTGTGTTCATTATAACCTCGGTTGGATCGTTTTTTCGGGAATCAACTGATCACTGGACATATTAAGTTGCTCTGGGGGGGCTTCCAACTGCTGAAACACAGGGTGATTCTATAATCTGGGAATCAATCACTGGACATTTGTTCTCACACTTATATATTGCTATTAAACCCCCTGTCGTTTTTTCTTGCTTTTTGTGTTTGTTTTTTTTTCCCCGGGAATCAACCGATCAGTGGACATATATTTGCTGGAGCGTTTTTCCCCATGAGACGCATCGTTCGTATGGCAGGGGGCGAAAGTGGTCTGATTCCCCGCATTTCACCCCGGGAAAAGCACCCCCCATGAAGGAACTGGTTGGTTGATTGGCATTCCCTATAAACCATTCCCTCTGGCTTCCTTTATTCGGGAATCTTCAGGTTCATTTCATTTCTCATCCCCTAGCTATCGCACTAAGTAATATGGGCTCAAAATTTCCAAAGAGCACTTACGGGACCAGGGATGTGGGAAATGACAATATTACCACAGAGCACGTCAAACAGCACCAGGGATGTGGGAACTGACAACTTGTTTCTTCCAAAGGGCTTTTTCCTGGGAGCCTTTGCGACTTGTTCCAGCCAAAGGGCTGCCCTTTGCCGTGTTCCCCTACTAAAACAGACAAAACAGAAAAAGTGGGTACCCTTATTCCAACTTTTCAAATCTGGAGGAGCTAGGAAAAGTGTGTGGGACCTGACACCTTGTTTGTTCTTCAACCAAAGAGCGCTTCCCCACACCCCACACCACACCCCACACCCACCCACCCCACACCCACACCCCACCCCACCCCACCCCCTGGGAGCCTGTGGTCGTGTTTCAGGGGGCGGTGGTGCGGCACCCGGTGCTGGTCTCCTTCTGGGCTGTTGGGCTCCTCATCGCCTCCCTCGCCGGGGGACTTCCCGTGAACACCTCCCAGGAGGAAGCGCGCCGCGGCGGGCTGGAGAAGAAAGAAGAAAGCGAAAAAGCCGGGCCATGTGCGCTTGCAGATGTGATTTGTGTTTTGGTTTTTTTGGGGGGAGAAAAGCCGCTCACTCCTGGAGTTCATGGGGGTTGGGACAGTTTCTTTTCAGTGGCAAACGGCAAGTTTGGACTTGTTCGTGGACTTTAGTCGCTTTTCGCGTTTGGACAATTTTCTAGTTGCAAACTAGCAGTACGTGTGGTTACTTGTTCTGACCCATCCACTCAGGAAGTGAGGCCAAGCGGCAACGTGCTCCTTTTGGATCGGAGCTGTACGGGATTGATCAAAAGGTCCCATGAACACGGGATGACCATTGGTTGGAAAACCGATAAAGGCCCTGGATTCGCCATGGATCTGGTTTTAGGTTGGACCCCCGTTGTCCTTTGGGTGTTGCGTGGAAAACACCGCAAAACAAAGAGGCATGCTCTCAACAAAAGACAACTCCATATGGGGTTGGCCAATGTCCCGTTCGGCCCCCATGTTTTGTTACGCTAAATGACAACTTTAGACTTTTTTTGACCCATCCACTCAGGAAGTGAGTCAAGGGAGCCATGATTTCAAGACTGAAATGGCTGGTTGTATCGACTTGGGACTGAAGTCAGCTGGCTCACCACTTTGCCGTCCTGTTTACTTCATTGCAGGTGCAAACGGCTTGCAAACGGTTTGTTTCAACTTCAGGGGCCCAAGTGAGCCACCCAGCGCACTTCTTGACTCGAACTTTAGCTGTTTGGGTTGGGACCATTTGTTCGTGATACACAAACTGGACTTGTGCACTTTAGTCGCTCGGGTTTGGACCATTTTCCCGTAAACAAACAGTTTGCGCTTGTTCCTGGATTGTTTGGTCGGGCTTGGACCATTTTTCCGTGGTAAACAAACGGTTGCACTTGTTCCTGGACTTTAGTCGCTTGGCGTTGGACCATTTGTTCTGTGGCAAACAGCAAGTTTGCATTTTTCATGGACTTTAGTCACTTGGGGTTGGACCATGTTGTTCGTGCTGAAAAAAAGTTATGTTACTTGTTGCTGGGGCCATCCACGTCGGAAGTGAGCCATGGCCCGAATGCGAGGTATCACATTCTGCTGCAGCAGGCGGAGGTCATCGACAGCCGCGAGCTGGGCCAACAGGCGGAAGTGGAGCTACAGAGCCTTGGACCTGTTGGTTTTCGGAGGTGCCGTGTTTTTTTTCCTTTTTCCTGGTTGGTTTCTTCAGGGAAACAAAAAGGAACAAAAAGAAAGAACGACCCCCCCCCCTCCAAAAAAAGCAAATATACAAAGAAAATGGAGCCTGGAGAACTCGTGGGTTTTTGGAAATTATGGCGGATGCCCTAAACATTGCAAGGGAACGAGGGACACCCTGAAATTCCTCATGGTTTGTGGTTAGTTTTCTTGCAATATTTACGGCATCCACCATACTTTTCCCGTTTTATTGGTTGGTTTCTTCAGGGAAACAAACAAATTGCGACCCCCTCCCCCCCAAAAAACAAAACCGAGGTACCCTTTTCGAAAAAGAACAGGGTCCAAATTCGTTTGACCCATAGCCAAATCCAAGTTTCTATTCTCCCTTGAATTGAATTCGCCCAGTCCCACCATCCTCAAGCCGTCCGTTTGCACCCTGTTGGAATTAAGTTGTTTGACGTCGCAGGCTCAATCCTCTTGCAGTGCAAGAGGGAGAGAGGACAAGGTTCGCTTTTCCCAAAACAAACATGGCATATTCTTTTTAAAGCGGGCTTCGGAAAGAACTGTAGGTCATTCGGGCTTTTGGGAACAGAGTATTTGGGTTGCCCAAGGCTCCTTAGGCTCCTTGGCTTGCGGTTGGACCCCTTGGGGGTTGCATAGATCCAAACTTTCCTGGTGCATTTTCACAAAGCCTTCCTGTGCATAGCCCAGGCACCACCCACATGCGATCATGTGTGGCTCGAGTGGCCGTTTAAGGGCCTAGACGCCACTCAGAGAATCTTACACAGAGACCTAGATGCAACAACGTCTGATGACGTGAATTGCCAGTGTTTCTCCTTCAATGTTGACCCCGGATTAATAAACTCCTGCTTATTAGTATCCTTCAAAAGTGATGAGTCCCCGCTTTGAAACCAGGGACACCCCACATATCAATAAGCAGGGGCTTATCAAGCTGGGGTCAACATTATCGGACAAATAGAATGGTTGAAGCGGACATGCTATGGCATTGTTCTCAACACACGCACGCCCAGGAAGGCTGAGGCCGTTTACCATGCCTCAAGCGGGCTGTTCAGCTGTGACGACACCTGCCAGAAAGCCTTTGACAAGGCCGGCTGGATATCATCCGGGTAAGGGAGAATAGAGCTTGCAAGGAAAGAAGTGGGTGATTCGGTGATGGGTTGTCGCAGATTCAAGGCTCCTCCAAATGGCTGGGGCATGTCAAAGGGCCAATCCATCAGGTGAGAGGTGTATTCGCGCAAGATGCCAGTTCCAATTGCTCGCAACTGCTACCCTCCCCCAGACATTCTTCATGGAAGCTCCCAGGACTTTGGAAGACTTGGTTGCATGAGGCCTTCTGGGAGCTTCCATGTTAGTCTGAGGGAGGGTAGCGCATGGCCCGCAGCCGTCCAGTCGCCTTCGCAGCATCTAGGCTCGGCAGGCCTTGCCTCAAGACAATGAGTACCAGAGACTAGACTAGCTCCCCCAGCTAGGTGCCCTTTCTGACCCTGTTTTGGTTGGGAGGGTACCCCTACTAAGATAGACTACATAAAAAGTTGGTACCCTTATTCTAACCTCTCTACTGGAGGACGTAGTAGACAATGACCAGTGACTTGCGTTTGCTAGTTTGGCGCGGATTGGGCAAGTATGACGCCTGCACGCCCAATGATTGTCTCTTGTGAGCCTGAACGATTGCGTCGCGGATGGGCAAAGGCTGATGCAAAGCTTGAACTAGTGAGAAATCAGTAGTTACTGGTGCCTGGGGTGTTGTGCGGCCAAAACCCCTCCGCGTGTGTTCTTCGCAAAACACCAACAACAACAAACAAAGTGCAGAGGGAAATGTTGCCAAACCCACCAATCCTGCTAACAAATGACTCAAATCGCTGGGCTACCTGGACTCAGCTGATGTTTGCTGGTTTCCTTGCAAAGGAATCTGCAGGAATCAAACAGAGGCTACCAGGACGCAAAGGCAACGACGGCAAACTGGGCGATGGTGACTTTGGGCAGCGCTGTGTTCCCCGACTCCGACCCGGAAGATGAGGACTTCATCCTAGAGGAGTGCGTGGGTAACAAACTGAGACCTGCCCCTACTCCAAAAAGCCTTTCATTTTTTATGTTTTTCTCCTGTTGGTTTTAAAGGGAATCTATCAGTACTGGAAATATGTTTCTTCCAGGGGACTTGAGCAAATTGAGGAAACCCGTCTTTTGGTGGGTATTTTGTTCCATGGTAAGCAACTCCTTTGCCTGCTTTTCTAGTGCGGAGTGGACATCATCCCCTGAGAAATGTGGGTATTTGCAACAGGGGGCAGGCTTCAGCTATGGCGTAGAGTTCGGAAGCTGTTTTTGTCACCCTTTGCTGGTGACTCAAGTGAGACAAGAAGTTGAGTGAGTTGCGACATTGCTAGGTCCCCCAGTAGTGCCCGTTTACCCTTTTTTGGGGGAGGCTTCCCCTACTAGAATAGACTACAGAAAAAAAGTTGGTACATGTTGGTACCCTTGTTCTAGCCTCTCTACTGGAGGACCTAGACGGTTCAACTTCAATTCGTGACATTCCTGTGTTGTGTGAATTGTGAGGCTTGGCGTGGCCATGAAGCGAATCGCATTTTCCTTGGAATCGGGGAATTGGAAGTGCTCCTTTGGAGGACAAAGAGACACATAAAAGACACAAGGATGGGCCACATCCTTGGTGTTATCAAAATTGCATGTGTTGGTTTTATGGCAGTTTCGCTGTGCTTGAAATGTCAAGCAAATCCACTGCGGAATTGAGTTTCAACCGTTGCGCTGGCCATGACAATGATTCCAAGCGCGCCCAGGCTAGCGCAGGAGCATGTTCCAAACCTAAGGCGTTTGAGATGGTACCAAGTCATTGGCTGGAAAAGTAGTATCAACATCATAGGCTGTTCATTTCGTGGTGCCCCGGGTTGATGCAAACCTCAGGCATACACCTTTTGAATTTGAATAGGGGACCAACTTTGTGTCCAGAAACCACTTGTGAGGTGGTTCCCTATTGAAAAGTATAGCTATTTAGAAGAGTGATACAATCATTGCTGGGTAGAAGGGTTTCGGCCCCAGGAACGGTATCCAGTAGTGCCCTTTTACCCTTTTTTTGGGGGAGGGTTCCCCTACTAAAATAGACTACAGAAAGAAAAAAGGAGAAGAAAAGGAGGTACCCTTATTCTAACCTCTCTACTGGAGGACCTAGTATATTCCCGTGTCAGGAGACCGAGGAGCCAGCCGCGAGAAGCCAAGCTGCGCGAGGAGCCGACAAGGCAGCGCGCCGGAAGCGGCAAAAAGCAGCTGAGGAGCTTTGGGAAGCTCGGTTCAATGCCATACCCGCCATATTTATCCTTACACTTCCGTTCAGGGTTGTGGGAAATGACCACTTCTGTGATACAACAAAAAGGGCTTTCCAAAGACTAACACCCCATATACAGGGGGGAGATTCCCAAAAGTATCACAGAAGTGGGAATAAACCCCTTGATTCCACAACCCTGCTTCCGTTTGCTGAAATGAATACTGCTTATTTTCCCCTGTTGGTTTTGAAGGGACTCTATCACTGCTGGAAATATGTTGTTGTTTTTCTTTCGGGGGGTCTTAACCAAATGGAAGTACATGTTTTGGCCTTGGAAGAATTTACATGTGACGTATCCCAGAAAAAAGTTTGTAGGCAAAAGATCAACGAACTCAGGAAGAAATGCAGAAGGAGGAACTGCAGTCGGCAAAGAGCTGGGTGAAACGTCCCTGCTTCGATCCGCTGCTCCTTGGCGCAAGGGTCTAAGGTGAGTCTAGTCAAACGCCTACTCGTAGTTCCGCGAAAGGGTCGCTGTTTGCTGCTGGTTTTGATTTGACAAAACCGCAGTCCGGGCAGATGAGCAGAGAGAATTCAGAGGCTGGTAAGTTCTGGACGTGTCAGATTTGCTTTGGAGATGGGCGCTGCAACAGGATCAAACACGGCTCATCTCCTCCACCTAGAAAGGCTGATAGCCCTGCCTCATAGCTCTTGGTGTCTCCGCGACTGGTCTTGGGGGAACGCATCGACCAAGTGCCGGAGACGAAGCAATAGTCTGGTGGGGCTGTAGGAGTGGCAAACAGCAGAAAGAGCCCCGTAAAAGTACTGAGCGTTTAGTGCGGTCAGTGTTCCAACAGATTCGTCTGCCCTTGGTTCTAGGGGTTGATTCCCTATTCTTTTGAACCATCGTTCTTTTCAAAAACCAGCTGTTTCCTCTGTTTTTTTACAAAGAAAGATGCCTGGAAAGAATGGGGAAGGTACCCCTAGATTGGTGTCATGTTCCTTATCCGATGTCATCCTGAAGCGAACCTGCCAAGGTTCCGCAGCCTTCAGCAGCGGGTTCCACCGGTGCAGCGATTCGCTCCAAAGAAAGTGGACGTTGCAGCATCCGTCGCCAGCTATGGCCAATGCGCCGAAGAGGGGCAGTGCAAGTCAGCCAAGGAGATGCAGCTTGTCTTGTCAGTAGTATGTAAGACGGGTCCGAGCGTTGGTGCCATGATCCCATCCAAGACAAATTGAAAGAGACGGATGCGTCTTCTAATGTCGACCCCGGATTAATAAACCCTAGTTTTCCCGAAAGCATCGCGAAGGGTTCTTCCGTGCAGTTACATAGAGCCAAGTTACATAGAGCCAAGTTACATAGAGCCAAGTTACATAGAGCCAAGTTACATAGAGCCAAGTTACATAGAGCCAAGTTACATAGAGCCAAGTTACATAGAGCCAAGTCACATAGAGCCAAGTTACATAGAGCCAAGTTACATAGAGCCAAGTTACATAGAGCCAAGTTACATAGAGCCAAGTTACATAGAGCCAAGTTACATAGAGCCAAGTTACATAGAGCCAAGTTACATAGAGCCAAGTTACATAGAGCCAAGTTACATAGAGCCAAGTTACATAGAGCCAAGTTACATAGAGCCAAGTTACATAGAGCCAAGTTACATAGAGCCAAGTTACATAGAGCCAAGTTACATAGAGCCAAGTTACATAGAGCCAAGTTACATAGAGCCAAGTTACATAGAGCCAAGTTACATAGAGCCAAGTTACATAGAGCCAAGTTACATAGAGCCAAGTTACATAGAGCCAAGTAGAGCCAAGTTACATAGAGCCAAGTTACATAGAGCCAAGTTACATAGAGCCAAGTTACATAGAGCCAAGTTACATAGAGCCAAGTTACATAGAGCCAAGTTACATAGAGCCAAGTTACATAGAGCCAAGTTACATAGAGCCAAGTTACATAGAGCCAAGTTACATAGAGCCAAGTTACATAGAGCCAAGTTACATAGAGCCAAGTTACATAGAGCCAAGTTACATAGAGCCAAGTTACATAGAGCCAAGTTACATAGAGCCAAGTTACATAGAGCCAAGTTACATAGAGCCAAGTTACATAGAGCCAAGTTACATAGAGCCAAGTTACATAGAGCCAAGTTACATAGAGCCAAGTTACATAGAGCCAAGTTACATAGAGCAAGTTACATAGAGCCAAGTTACATAGAGCCAAGTTACATTAGAGCCAAGTTACATAGAGCCAAGTTACATAGAGCCAAGTTACATAGAGCCAAGGAGCTTAGGTAGAGCTTAGAGCTTCGGCGTTAGCAGCTATGTAAGTTAGTTTAGGTTTCTAAGGCGCCGGGGCGGGAGTTTGATCGTCGCTCGGGATTGCGACCCTCTGCGGAGATTCGCGTGGTCGAGGTTCAAAAACTGGGGACTTTTTACGATTTTTAGCATGCGCGCGCGACCCTCTGCGGAGATTCGCGTGGTCGAGGTTCAAAAACTGCGGGACTTTTTACGATTTCTGCGGTGCGCGCGCGACCCTCTGCGGAGATTCGCGTGGTCGAGGTTCAAAAACTGAGGACTTTTTACGATTTCTGCGGTGCGCGCGCGACCCTCTGCGGAGATTCGTTTCGCGAAACGCTCGCGAAACGGCCTTTGGAAGTTGTCTCGTGGTTTGCGCGCCTGCTTTCGCAATCGCGCGGTCGCGGCGGGTTCGATTCCCCCCTGGTCCGCGGCAGCTCCGGCTTGAAAATCGCAGCTTTTAAGTACAAACGTAGTACGCGGAGCGTGCTCCTGCAGCTCCGGCTGGAAAATCGTAACTTTTAAGTACAGACGTAGTGTGCGGAGCGTGCTCCCGCAGCTCAGGCTGGAAAATCGCAACTTTTAAGTACAAACGTAGTACGCGTAGCACACCCCCGCAGCTCCGGCTTGAAAATCGCAACTTTTAAGTACAAACGTAGTACGCGGAGCGTGCTCCTGCAGCTCCGGGTGGAAAATCGCAATTTTTAAGTACAGACGTAGTATGCGGAGCGTGCTCCCGCAGCTCAGGGCTGGAAATTCGCAACTTTTAAGTACAAACGTAGCACGCGGAGCACACCCCCGCAGCTCCGGCTGGAAAATCGCAACTTTTAAGTACAAACGTAGTACGCGGAGCACACCCCCGCAGCTCCGGCAGCACTTGCACGGAGCAACTTGCGCAGAGTCACTTGCGCAGAGCAACTTGCGCAGAGCAAGTTGCACAGAGCAATTGTACAAAGCACTTTCGCAGAGCAACTTGCACAGACCAACTTGCACAGAGCACATGCGCAAAGCGCTTGCACGGAGCAACTGGCGCAGAGCCCTTGCGCAGAGCAACTTGCACAGAGCAGGCGCAGAGCAACTTGCACAGACCAACTTGCGCAGAGCACATGCGCAAAGCGCTTGCGCGGAGCAACTGGCGCAGAGCACTTGCGCAGAGCAACTTGCGCGCAGCAGCCTGGAACAATGCAGCTTGCGCAGACCACTTTCGTGAGAAATCGCGCGGCGCAGTTCGAGAGGAAAGTAGGATGATGAGATGGAGCTCTCATGTGACCATACACACTGAGCATCGCCGCGCGCAGACACGCTCGCCGCAGCGATGTAAAAAGGTGTCTCCGCGGCTGGATGAGCACCTGTGGAAAAATGCTTTCGGGCCAATCGTCCTCTAGTATTAATAGGGGGGCGTGTCCCTTGGTTAAGTGGGGATTCATCACTTTGTGGAGGGGAACACCCCCATATTAATAAACAGAGGTTGATTAAAATTAAGCTGGGGTCAACATTCCGGTTGAGTTTCAAAGTCAGCGTTCAAACGCCAGTCCAGCATGGCTGCTTTCTCTCAGGTTTAATGTCGTCAAAAGGCCACAGGTCCCTCCCAACCACTGCAACCCTGCTTTGGAGAGAACCCAAGACACCCATTGCCGTAGAATCGATACATCCGCCAGTCCTTGGGATAAGGGTGATTTAGGTTGAAATGAAAGATTTAATGGAGGTATTGCGTGTCAGAGAATGATACAGACAAGCTAATGTGAGATGTGTTCGACTTGGCTAGAAAAAATGTTTACAATAATTTCTCGGACACTTACGTACATCAGAATGATTTGTCGGTCTCAGGCTCTTGCAGACCCCCTGGTCTTTGATCCCTTTCTGGCTGCTGGTCGAGCGTTTGGTCCATCGGATGTGAAGTAATGACCCATTCTCTCCTTTCCCTTCCCCTCCTTCCCGGGGTTCCCCCTCCTTCCCAGGGTTCCCCGCCTGCCAAATCCACCCGACCAACCCCATCAAACCAACCAACCAACCAACCAACCAACCAGCCAGCCAGCCAGCCAGCCAGCCAACCAGCCAGCCAGCCAGCCAGCCAGCCAGCTGCCAAGGAAGCAGCGTGTGCGTGCGGAAGTGGCCGCACCGCGACCTTCCGCTTCCGCTGGCTCTGTGTCCAAGGCTTCGATCTGGGCGCAGCTGGCAAAGTACAGCTTCGCCACGGAGCCTCTGCCATCGGCCAAGGAGATGAAGCAAATGGTGCGGGGCAGCGCCTTTGCTGAAGGCCCCCCAGCGATTGGTGCAACCTTTCTCACCCCTCTTTTGATTGGGAGGAAACCCCCCTACTAAAATAGACTACAGAAAAAGAAGGGTACCTCTCTACTGGAGGACCTAGGAACGGGTCCCCAGCGAATCCTCCGGTTCCTCAACTCGTTTTGGGTTTTCAGTTGGTTTAGTGGGGGGTTAAATTTAACCCACTAACAGTTTAACTTTGCTCAATTGAGCCATGCCCTTAAACACGATTCCAGTAGATGAAGGTTAGGTATAATCCCCTTGCCATAAATGAGTGCCTTCCTCGCCTTTTTACTTCCTTAAATGGTTCTGGGTTGACCGTTTTAAAACCAGGGTATGATGTTGATTCAATTCGGGATTAGTATTGCATTGTCCCATTGGGTGTTTACCAAAATCTACCTGTTTCAAGGCTTGAGTTTAAAGTCACATGTTACAAAGAGGATCGGATGTGTGAGAAAAAGAGGGAGCACCTGCAACTCTTCGCGAGGCCAGCAAGCAAAGCAGGATAGCACCCACGGCGTTCGGCGCATACTAGAACCCTTGAACAAAATAGAGGTTTGTCCCTGGCAACAGTTAGTTTTCGTTGGGCTTTCCCGGAAGACAGGAAAGGGTCCAAATTCGGTTTGAGAGACATGCGTATGAAAAAAAAACAAAAAACATATTGACTTCTTTCAACCAGCCTCGGACCCAGAAAGTCGGGCCCGGCTGATATGAACCTAATCTCTTCCCCAGAATTAGCTCCCCTTTTGTATTTTTTCTTTGCCTTTTTGGGGGTCTTTTTGTTTTCCATCAGAAAACTTAAAAAAAAAAAACATCTTGACTTCTTTCAACCAGCCTCGGACCCAGAAAGTCGGGCCCGGCTGATATGAACCTAATCTCTTCCCCAGAAGTAGCTCCCCTTTTGTATTGTGTTTTTCCTTTTTTGGGGGTCCCTTTGTTTTCCACTAACCAGGCAAAAAAACAAAATGCAGGGGTCCGATTTTTCCAGCCAAGATCTTATGGCTAAAATATGTGGCTTCCCCAAGTTATCAACCCCATGGGGAGAGTCTCAGGTTTTGTGGGTCCGAGTTTGGTCCCTTTGGTGAACGAGCTCGCCGATCCACGGGGCCTTTCCGGCGGCTTGAGGCAACACCTCGGGCACCAAGAAGCTCGCGCTGAAGTTGCCATCTAGCACTGTGGTACAAGCAGCTCGGTGTTTCTTTCGTAGATCGTGCCGAAACGGTTGGTGAAGCAGGGCGCGTGAGTTCATGAATTCTTCACTGCCAGAACTAGCCACGTGGTTTGATTTGTTTTTTTCCAGATATCCATTACAGATTTTGTTTCGAATGGCTGATGGGGCTTTGCACGACTCCCAACAACCTTGAAGCGGTCTGCCCAAGTGCATGTCCCAGGAGGATAGCTCCTAATTGGATTGCTATGTGACTAAGGACCTTATCGCTTGCCAATGTTAACCCCCAAGACCCACCATCCAGTCGCCAAGCTTCCATGGTCTGGACAACTGGTTGGCTGGTCGGCTGGTTGGCTGGTCGGCTGGTTGGCTGGTTGGCCGGTTGGCTGGTTGGCAGGTTGGTTGGCTTGTTGGTTGGCTAGTTGGTTAGTTGGTTAGTTGGTTAATGGGTTGATGGGTTTGCTGGTTTCCTGGCTACTTGGCTGGCTGGCTGGTTGGTTGGTTGTTTGGTCGGTTGGTCTGTTCGGCTGTTGGCTGTGTGACTCTCTGGTCGGCTGACTCGTTGCCTTCCAGGAGTCTGTGCGCTTCGCGGGGGAGACGCTGCTGCTACAGCGCCGCCTGCAGCCAGGGGAGCAGCAGAGATATCTGCAGACGCAGAAGCGGAAGCAGGCAGCAAGGCGTGAGATGTCGCGAGATGTCGCAGGTCTTTGGCTGGTGACTCGGTGGTTCCCAGCCATCCGGTTCCTGGGTTTTTTAGTGGTTTTTAGTGGTTTTTAGTTGGTGTAGAGGGGATTTCCATACCCACTAGAAATTTTCGACTTTCAGTAGGGGATCTGAGGACAGCCCGCGTAAGTGAAGCAAGCGACGCAGGTCAGCCAGAGCTGCTGTCCAAATCGGGGGTCGATTGAACGTAATTTGGTTTGGGTAAATATGCTGCCACTTTGGTTTCCTGCGTGAGTGAGGCACGAGTGAGCCGGTCACGATTCACGAGGTGCGCATTGTATGTTTGGTTTCCATGCTGCATTCTTGCAATGTATCGGATTTGAATTCCGCCTTTTGGTCCAACTACGCTTGCAGTGAAGTTGTCGATACTTGCGCGGCAAACTCGGAGGATCTTAGACGAACAGTGGCCCCCACAGCTGGCGAGCAGGGAAAGTCCATTCTGAGGAGATGATTCGTAGCAGATGCTACAAGGGCCTGCAAAGTTTCCCTGTTGGCTCCAAACAGTCATGAGAGTTCACAGATATTTGAAGAGCCTTGTTGCAAAAGCTTTGGTGTGTGTTGTTGGGGACCGAGCAGATTCGTCAAAGAGTGACTTCAGCAGGTCCAGTGATCTCAAGTTTGGAAGCTTCGTGAAGCTGTGCGAGTTTTTTTTGGATCTCTCCAGTGGTGAGACTTGCTAAGCTGTGTGCGTTACTTGGGGCAAACTCGGACTGCTTGGGGGCTTGTGGGATGGCAACCGGCAGAGCGCTTCAGACCAGGTTTGCCATTGCTAGTTTGTGATCCCAACTATTCAAAGCAAAGGCTGATGATTCTGATGAATCCAACGTGTCTACACCCTTTTCATAATATGTGTTTCTCCACAAGGCTTGGCTTTAAAAGGAAAAAACAGCAAGCAAAAACGACGATAACGAAAGAAGGCCGTTTTGTGTTGTCCCCATGACCCGAATTTTCCAGTGAGCGAGGAGCCATGGGATTTTGTCTCACGGCCAGGCTGGGGGGCAGCCTGAGAGCATTAGACCAGCTGCTTTCCAAGGACAAGGACCGCGGAGAAATTTGATGAGAAGAGGCGGCTGTGGGTCAAAAATCGGAGCCCAAATCGGAACCCTATGGAACCCTAATAAATGGAAACAAGGACAGATTGTTTTTAATGTTATTTCTTTTTTTTCTGGTGGGTCAATGTTGCCCCGTACCCGTAAAATGGCTTGCCCTGGGTAATTTTGACGCAAATACTCAAATCTGCGGTGTTTGCTGGTGGGAATTAATTGTTTGTCCCATACCCAATGTGGAAAATGAGTTGGGCCAAAAGGACTATTTGTGGTATTTGTTCTGTTGGTTTTAAAGGGAATCTATCACGACTGGAAATTATGTTTTCTTGTCCAGCAGGAACGGCGAATGGCCTGTTTGCAGTAGAAACCCATGGGCATGTGGCCAACATGATTACACAAACCCATGTCCTTTGGACGTCAACTGCTTTCTTGGTGGGGTTCCTCCATGTTTTTTTTTGGAACCTCCAAAACTTGACTGCTATTGGGCTCGATCTTTAGACTTCAACTTTTGGGAAATCAAGTTGGGGCTTCCACTAGACCCACAAAAAGGGAAGAACTTCTTGCAGAGGGGTCAGCCGCACAGTGGGTATTTTCACGGGAAGCTCTCAGTAAATCGCGGCTTGTGACCCCTGCCTTGGCTCCAAGTGGCCTGAGTCAGGAGCTGAACACGATGGAGAAGTCGGGCTTGGATTGGAAGCAGCACAAGGAGGAGGCGGATGGGCGGCTGCAAGAAGGAGTCTGGCTATTTTTCGCATGGCCGGGGAGGTGTTGCGATTCCGGAGTCTTTGGTCAAGGGTTCTGGCCATGTTGACGGTTTCAAGAGTGAGTCTGGGCATTTGGCTGTGGGTCAAAACCAATGGTACCAGTTTGGGGCAGGCGCACCACCCATTTTGGTCTTAGTGGGGATTGGGATGTTCACTGGCGGAACAGGATTTTGACCCATGGCCATTTTTTCGCGTGGCTGGGGAGGTTTCGTGATTCCGGAGTCTCTGGTCAAGGGTTCAATGGCTTGCGTCTGTCTCAAGATTGGGGGGCCCGCTGCCAGGTTTCTTGTCGGTGTGCGTTCAAAAGCTAGTGCAAGAGCTTCCCCACCGGCTTGGCTTTCTCCAAGCAGGTAGAAGTGGCCAGATTTCCATGGCTGGATTTCTTGGTTTAAGACAAAAGGGCTGAGCCTATGTTACACGGTATGCATTCACTGACCAACGTTTCTCATAGGCAATATTCCATTTGCTGACACGAATATGTTGTATTCTCCCTTGTTGGTTTGCCTTAGTGCGGCTATGTTCCTCAGCACCTACCTTGGTTGCCACAACTTGTTTAATGAGATTACAAGCTCCCGCGGGAATCTGTCGCTGGGCATGATGTTCTCGTTGTTTTTTTTCCAGTGGGCTTGGGCCAAAGAGCCGGAGGCTTGTCATCAAACTTGCAGAGACACTCAACGCCAGCAAGCCGCATCCACAAACTTTCACTGATTACTTTCTGCGCGCTAGTCAACGTGTGGAAGTGTTGTGTTTCTTCCCGTTTTTTTTCAATCCAAAGCTTTAGAACGGAAATGTGTATTATTTTTGTACATGTATATGATTATACTGGACATGCAATATGAAAGATATGTTTAAGGCAATGCCTGCATTGATGTTTGGTTTAGGTATTTGGTTAGTACGACTGGATGTAAGGATATGGCAAAGCCTCGTGTAAATGACGTAGCTTTTTATGTTTTTCCCACCTTCTTTGTTCTTATTAGTCACTGGTTTATTTAATGGCCTGCGGCCTGGTTCCGCCGCCCCCACACACCTTAGAATTTCGGCCCGGGACGAGAGAAAGCACGCGATATGTAGACAGACACAGACAGACACAAAGACACGCAGACAGACACGCAGCGGGGGGGGAGGGTCTTCGCGGACACGAAGACAGACGCAGATGCGCAGGCAGACGCAGACAGAGCCAGACAGACACAAATACACAGACAGACACGCGGGGGGGGGGGGACACGAAGAAAGACGCAGATACGTAGACAGACACAGACAGACACAGACAGACACAAAGAGACAGAGACAGACACGCAAGGGGTCTTCGCGGACACGAAGACAGACGCAGACAGACCCAGACAGACACAAAGAGACACAGACAGACACGCAGGGGCAGGGGGGGTCTTCGCGGACACGAAGACAGATGCAGATACGTAGACAGACATAGACAGACACAGGGGGGGGCGGAGGGGTGGGGGAAGACTACCCGAAGCCTAGGGAAGAAGCCCGAAAGCACAGGACACGCGCGTTGTTTGGTCCCGAAACAGTATCGGAAGACTAGGAGAAGAAGCCGGAAGATTACGGAAGACTACGGGAAGAAGCCGAAAGATTGCGGAAATTTACGGGAAGAAGCTTGAAAGATTTCGGAAGACTACGGGAAGAAGCCGGAAGACTACGGAAGACTACGGAAGACTACGGGAAGAAGCCGGAAGACTACGGAAGACTACTACTGGAAGAAGCCGAAAGATTACGGAAGATTACGGGAAGAAGGCGGAAGACCACGGAAGACTACGGGAAGAAGCCGGAAGACTACGGAAGACTACGGGAAGAAGCCGAAAGATTACGGAAGATTACTGGGAGAAGCCGGAAGACTACGGAAGACTACGGGAAGAAGCCGGGGGGGGGGGGGGGGGGGGGAGGGGGGGAGGGGGGGGGAGGGGTGGGGGGAATTCCCCAGAAATCCAGAGATCCAGAAATCCAGAAATCCAGAAATCCAGAAATCCAGAAATCCAGTAGAAACCAGCCCCAAGGGCCGCCCCAAGGGACATATAGGTTATATATATATATATATATATCTACATAATCATATTCACATTAAACTTATAGAAAGCATATCAACAAAAGCAACACAGAACACACCGCCCCCATGCCGAAAGCATGGTCCATTCTGGACCAGGCATGGGGTCGGCGGATTTGCTGGTGGTATTCTAGCAGCAGCACCACAAACAAGCGTTTTGAGTTCCGAGGTCTCCCAATACTAGACTCCTTTGTTTTCTTGCGACACATATTTTTCTTCGCAGAAACCCATGACGAGTTGCGAAACATTTGAAACCCACAAAGACTCAATGGGTGCTTTCAAGTAATCAAAGGGTGCTTCAAAATTGGGTTGCCCTTTCATGGTTGCTGTTGGGAAACATTTTACCTTATTGCTTATTGTGGTTTAGTGGGAAATCTCCACTTAACTGCTAACAATTACATTTTTACTCCCCTTCCAGCGTCACCATATACGTCACCCAAGCTTTGAGTCACGCCCCAACCCAGGCGGGGCTGGAGCTGCCGAAGGACGAGCGCGGCAGCGCGCTGGAGCGCTCCGCCTTCCTCTCCCGCGCCGCAGCGAGGGCCCAGCACGCCGCCCGCGCGCAACTCCGCGCCGCCGCGCGGAAGCGGGCTGCGAAGTAAAATCGAGCGATTCGCGAACCCGGGCATGGGGTGATGTTGGGCTCCGTGTTTTTGTCTGGTTTCATTTTGGGTGGGGGGGTGAGGGGGTGGCAAAGCAAAACTGCGATGTCAAGTTCGGTGGTGGCGGTTTATTGCATTTTATAGCCACCTGTGGTTAATTTATCATGTTGAAGCAAGGAAATTACTTTCAGTCTATTGAATTTGGGCCACATAGAGTCTCTTTTTTTTCGGCAAGCCGAGCAAACCTTCCGTATCCTTCCGTGCCTTATGCCAGCCACGCAAAGCAAGGCGTCGCGCATGAGGGGCATTTGGTGGTTCGCAGCCATCCGCTTGACTGGGTTTCCACTCAACCAATCATAAAGCTCCCAATAACATGACAAGGTATCAATAGGTGTTCAATGATGGCAAAGATAAACTCTGACATCTCCTACATGGAGGTCCTCTTAACAAATTTAAATGAAGAAATCTAGCACTAAAAGCTTCCGACTTTTCGCAGGGGATCGAAGGGGAACAACCCAGAGAAGGTTTCATCTCTCAGGCGATCTGTGGAAAGATGTTTAAAGGCCGTTTTGATAGAGCCAGAAGTACTAAGATATGGCAGGGTAACTGTTTCAGCCTGTGTTTGGTTTGCCTCCATGTTTTTGTGTGTGTTTGCTCACAAACAGCAGATTGGTATTCTAGCAATCAGTGGCAGCAGTTGCTTTGTCTTTGGGAGCTTGGCACAGGCCCCGTGCAATTGCAACAAGCTGTATGCACTCCTAGCCTTCACGGGGAGCCAAAGGAGCTGTATGCCACACGCAGGGGTAGCCCACGAGGCTGTCAGCCCCGAAGATCCCACTTTCTCAACCTGTATTGCCAAAAGACCGTCTGCGGTTGCAAAACAACGTGCAAAAGCGCTGACTGTCCTTTGGTGCATTTTGCCAAGGGCTGTTAGGACTTTAACTTTTTGCCAACTGATGGGTTTTCCACTAAACCACTAAAAGTTATTCACTTTTAGCAGGGGAGCAGAAAGCAACCGAGTGTCGTTCCTCCCAGTTCCAAATGTGTGCTTGCAACAAATCCAGAAGTGAAGTCTGAGTTGTCTAGTTAACTTGGCGGCTCCCAGCCATCCCCTTGGCTTTTTAGTTTTTTAGTGTTTAGTGGTAGTTCCCCAACAGCTGAAAGCTTTAGGGTCTCAGCCCAGATAGGCTCCGGGGTGGTCCGGGGCAGCCGGTGAGGTAAGGTTCCACGAGGGTTCCACCAGGGTTTCACGAGGTTCTGCGACCACATGCTGTTGGGGATATCACCTGAGCTTATTTCCATTTACTCCGCTAAAAGTTAAACTTTTAGCGGGAGATCTGAGGACAGCCCAGTGAAAATCAGTTCCACGGAGTGCCTGTCAGCCCAGTTTTCCCGGGCATGTCACCCTGGCAGGTGCAGATGGCACGAGCTGAAGTGCAGAGAGCGGCTAGTCCAGCAAGAATCATCTCAGTTGCCCAAAGCGAATCGACCTTTTAACCTTTTGCTTTTCTCGTGTTGGTCCAGTTTTGGTCATGGTCCCAAAAGGTTAACCTTTTATTTCCAGGTCCTTTGGGCAACTGAGTCATTTGTGGGGTTCCTCTCGGAGCGAAAAGGGGATGACCCGCAAAAAGTCATGGGGGGTGAACAACACTGTAGGTCCGCATAAACACAATTACAGAAACACAAATCAGAACAACAACTCAACAACACCAACAACCAGAACAACCAACAACAAAAGCATTTAATCAAAGCATACAACATGGGATGACCATTGGTTGGAAAGCCACGAGCAAGATTTGATATTCCAACTACATGAGAAAAAGTTGCCCATGGTCATTTGGGGATCGGAACGGATTATTGATCAACCCCCATGTCTCCGTCAAATCGTGAATAATTTCAAGGATGTGCAAGCCATCCGCCTTTGCCCGTTTAAGTCCGGAGTAGTCTTTGTTTTTTTTATACTGTCCTCAGGCAACGTATTGGTCCTTCAAGCGCAGGCAGGGGCTGAGCGTCCCCATGCGCCAATCTCAAAAAAAGGGTTAAACACTACGAAATCCCGCAAGCGGATTCAGTAGTGCTGCTACTGCCTCTAGATGATTTCACAGAAGCATTCATATATTCCGTGGTTGCTGACCGATCACCATGTCATGGTGAAAGTGCTCGCGGGGTAGCGAGCTACGATATCGCTTTGGTTTCTGCTGTTTGCATCTGGCGTCAATCTCAAAATAGCTGCTAGATTCTTTGGGTGGTTTTACTACAAACTCGACACAAGCGTCAAATGGCCGAGCCCCTATTCCCTTCCGGCTAGTCATAAATGCACCCTGCTGGTAGCAACATATATCTTTCTCACCATCATTTCTCAACAGTACTAGGATAGAGACTAAAAAAGACTAAAAACTCAACAGACTCAAAAGAATGCACTATTTCTCAACAGAAACTAATAAAAGACGAAATCAGATCTCCAAAAACTCCCAGATCTCCTACCCCGAGTTTAGTTGTAGGGGGCCCTCCCATGGCTCCCCAAAACACGTTGGGCCGCTCTGTGCAACTTTTGTTTCCTGGTACCCCGAACGCTTTTTTTCCACTCCGGCCAACTTCTCGACGGCGATTTGTCTTGCTTGACTCCCCACTCTCCCCAAAGAGATGGTTACCCAATATTTGGTGGCTCTTCGTTTTTCGCGCCCCATTCACCGGCACAGCTGATTTGGCTGCCCAGACATGGCCTCCAGTTGTTGGCACTTTGTCTAGGTCCCCCAGTAGTGCCCTTGCACCCTTTTTGGGGGGAGGGTTTTCTGCTAAAATAGACAAAAAAGAAAAAATACACGGTACCCTTATTCTAACCTCTCAAATCTGGAGGACCTCATCAGTGCATGTACAGACACACTGACTTATTTGTTTTTGGGGCCTTCTCCTTCTTTCCCGCTCCCCAATAAATCGCTGCGTCGAACAGACACTGTGCGCTATCGCAAAGGCAAAAAGACCTAGTTGTGGCCCAACTGAAATTCGTGTCTCCGACGGTTCAGCTCACAGGTCCAAGCTCGACGGGACATGGTCCTCTCAGAGGGCCGCCGAGAGGTTGGCATCTGGTCCTCCTTCGGCGTCCAGGCACCCGGGCGCCCGCGCGGGCGCCATGGACGTGTTCGTATAAGCCGCGCCTGGGACGTGCCTCCTGTTAAGCCTTTTTAAGGGGCGGCTTCAAAGCCAAGGATGCCATCGCTGGCGATGCATGGGCCTTTTGAGTTGGTCCCTTTTAGCTATTAGATGAGTCTTTTGCAAACTGCCGAATCTAATGGGATCCGGATTTCGAGCGGGTCATAATCGCAGACACGGGGGGGGGGAGTTGATTTTCCGCTGTTTGAACAAAATGCATATGAGCCTGACGCGTGGCTTCTGATTGGGCATGACCCACATGCACAATTCTAATGGTGTAGGTTGGTTTGGCAGTACATACCTGGGCATGATATGTTCGAATCTTGCGGTTGCATACGCCGCGTTAGCACAGATCAAAGCCTGGATCAACCTCGTGGTCCTTGCGGATGCGGCTTAACTTATGTTTGTGTAAGAGACATGGGTAGGGGTCACAATTAAACCACCAGGAAGTGGACCGCAGGTGTTTTTTTGCTGTTGCCGTTTCACAGGGCAACCCAGTTAAGGTACCTATTGTTGACCCACGGCCACGTGTTCGGCCTGGCACTAGTCGGCTTGAAGCGTCGCCCGCAGGATGTCCGCAAGAGCTTCTGGTCTGCCTGGCAGTCCGGCCACTTGGCGGAAAGGCGGGCGGTTGCGGCGCACGCGCCGGCAGGTTCCCGTTCCCTTGGCGGTGGGGCCTGCGGGCCTAGGGCGTTTGATTTGAAACGGCCTTCAGAATGAAGTCAGATGGAGCTTTTCACCTATTTAGATGTCATCGATTTGCCTCATTTTGCCAAAGGGAAGTCGTGCCAAGGTTTATCCAGCTTCCATTCCCGCGATGAGACCCTGTCTCTAACAGAGACGGGCGTTGCGTCCTGCGCTTTATGTCTTTCTCACTTGTGCTTGCACACAAAAACATTTGTGGTTTCCACAGCGGTCCTCGCACGGTCAGCGTAGGTTCGAGAAATAAGAGTAAACAACCATGACTCAGTTGTTCAGTGGCTCCATGTTTTTTCTTTTTTTGGTGGCTGCCCCACTAAAATGGTCTTCCCAACACAAGGTTCCCTTTTTTTTCCAGGGTCACTGAACAACTGAGATGAAATGCAGTGGGGTGTCTTCTCAAATCCACGGCAAGGTTTAGATGCGAAAAACTGATTCCCGCCCCCGCGCCGCACCATCCTTGCTCCTGACGCGCACGAGGTACAGGAAACAGTAGGAGGAGCAGAGCAGACGCAGTTGAACCTTAAACCTTTCTAGTGGCCATGGATTGCCAGTAAAGCTACATGAAAAGCAGTGTTTGTTGATGACAAATGCACTTTTCACTGCAAAACATGGGCCTGCACAGTGTGAAAGAGTGGCGAGTGCGGCCCATCCTGCTGGAATGGTTGTGCCAACACCCACATCCAGAGGAACCTCCGATTTGTTTTGCCCACGGCGGAGGACTTGCTGAATCGGGTATGAACAGCAAAGTGTTTTGTTGCAAAGGCAACATGTAGGGTAGAGGTGGGAGGGGGCTGGCCCGGATTTGAGGGTGGGCGGGGCGGGGGGGGGGGGTTGGGGAAGGTTTCGTTTGGATTGCGCTGCCTTTTAAGCTGTCAGGTCTTCGGTTTTGTTGTCGTTGCTTGCACACTGTAAATCAAAGCTCGGCCTCCTGCGTCCCTTCGATTTGCAACATGGTGCAGCATCGGCGGGATCCGTAGCCGCTGAGGGGATCCTGCCCGTTCCCACTGGGTCAAGCCTTGCGATGCGGCTGAGGTAAAGACTTTGCCGGACGCATGACCTTTTACAATGCCACTTGGCCCGGTTCTTGCGCGGAGAATATGTTCTATGGGTCAAAACCCAAATCGTACCCCCAGTGAACATCTCGATCC